CTACCTCTCGCCAAGAGCGTTGACGTGTGTGTGTTTGAGTAGTTCCTGGGAAAAGCCAACAATTGGTATCGGAGCCAGGTTATATGTCAACCATGTTGCTGGAGAAGCTCGTCGGCAGGCTGCGCGTGGCGGAGTGCTGTGGTGGAATCGAGGTGGTCGCGAATGGCGTTGAGCGTCTGCTGCTCATGGAGGAGCAGTGGGAGGTGCGTCGGCGACATCAATGCTGCAGCAAGGAGCGCTTGAGCGAAGGCAGCGACAAGCACAACGGCAGCAAGGAAGGCATCGACATCGACGACGAGCCGGTGTTCGTGTAGGTTGGGCGTACGGGGGTGTTGTGGTTTAGGGGGTTATTGTTAGGAATAAACCACGCCATGGTGTTGTCCGTGTGTGCGGGTTTTATTTTTGATTTGCATGCTAGTATGCAATGGTGGAGACTAAGTTACCTAGGAAGTTAGGTGCTAGTTTGACAAAATGAGTGGTGTGCGTGGTTGCCTTCACATGGGGAAGCCGTGATGCCCGAATGAGCGAGAGCCTCTCGAACATCACTGAGCGAGTCATGTGAATCATGGCATGAAGGCCGGACGTGAAGGTTAGCTCCTGGTGAGTCCGTGGCCTATATGTAGCCCCTGTGCTCCTCTGTATTGAGTTGCCAAGTACAGTGAATATGTAGCAAGATACAGGCGAGTTTGTCGCCGCGGCGTTCGTCGCCGAAAAATAGTGTCTATTGTGCTTCTTCTACCTCTCGCCGAGAGCCAAAAAATAATCTATCTATTATATTTCATCTACCTCTCGCGTTGGCGTGTGGGACAAAACCAACATTAGCTTTATTACAGTATATATATAGATGTGGATATAGAAATACGGCTCATAAGACAAGCGTCTTATGAGCCATACTTTTTCAGCGAAGGAACACACAGCAAATCAGCGAACAATACTTTTCAGCTTATCTTTTCAGCGAAGCGAACCACTATTCACTGGAACTTATCAGTCTAGCTTATCAGCCATGGTATAATATTTTTCTCTCACAATAAATTAAAGAACAATATTTTTAAGTCTGGCTTTTTAGCGAAGCGAAGTGACTGAAGCGGTGCGGGCTGCTGTCCTGCGGTCCACAGACTGTACCACTGGATTCCCGGTACGGGCAGCCACGGGCAGACCTGACGCCCTGACCTTGCCTATCTCGCTCACTGGTAATAAAAATCATAGAAGCAAAACGCTGCTAGCCATGCCAAATTACTTTAGATCCGTAAACATTTTCATGTGGGCCCATATGTCAGAAAAATGAATTTTTGTTAAAACATAGCCAAGTGGGGTCTTGTTTTATAGATTTAATTACAATAAATATTATATTGCAAACAGATCATAAAAGTAATGCAGCGTTTAGAGACTATAGTCATTCAAAGTTTTGTAATTGAAGCTGCATGCGAAGTTCTCAAGCACTCGCCCACATTCATCTGTACAAGAACTGACAAAAGCCTGTGCATTTCAGCGTGCATGACGGTGGTGGCTAGGATAGGACCTAGTAGCTTTTGGCAGGGATTCAATTTCAAAATGTATCTGTCAAAGACATTTGTATCTGTCAAAAAACTAGAGCCGTGAATTTTATACTATACTAACGACATGCCTAAACGTGTGTATGAATTAAATATTATAGTTACCTTTTTACCTCAAAAAATATTATAATTGCCTTAGATAAAATCACATAAATTATTTTGGTAAAAAAGTTAGAAATCGGATATATAGTTAATTAGGTATTTGGATTTAAAGCTTGATTATCCACAAATTTTAAACTCCGTGCATGCAGCACGTGAATGGCGCACTGCACTGCACTGCAACCAGCAGCATGTGACCTGTAAAAACCTCTGTCCACTGCACCTCAACTTCTCCAGAGCTCTCACGCAGCTTTGTGTAGGTGTGTCCCGTCATCATTTTAGTGCCTGCTCATACAACGTGAGTGCCAACATTTACACGTCAGCAATTTTGAAAAAGCAAACACCCTTCTCCAAGCAGTGGACCCCACAACTCCATCCCCTGAACCCGCTTTACTGGAAAATTTGGAGACCACGACGCTCTATTTCATCTGTGTTTCCTCTGAGTCACTGACAAGCGGTCCCAACTGCTCACGTGGAGAGCCACACGGCGCACCGCTCCATCCCATTCACAAACTTCTACCAGCAGCATGTGGTCCATTGTTCAAAAAAGGCCAAACATGTCTTAGCCCTGTACTCCATTCGCCAAAAATAGCACTTCCAATCCACCCGTTCATCACGCCACTTGTCACCGATCTAAGGCATGGATAGCCGTCACCCCCTATGGGGCAGCTATCCCCCGTCGTAGAAATTCCACACTAATATATAGAATATAGATATGATTTATTATGCATGCATGCACCGTATGAAGTATATACATCACAGACTGAAAAGGGTTAATTTACTTTTCATGCAGACATATATGAAGTCGAACCGGAAGAGATGGGCGCAAACTAATAAATAACCAAATGAATTAGGAGCTGAAGCTATAGTGGTCCATTTGGTCTTTGCCAAGAAGTAGTATAATGGAGATTTTTATTTTACTTTCTTTGATCAAACTGGTAGTTTCTAGACCTTGAGATTTAATATGGAATTTATTTTGTTGGCCAAATACTAATATGGTAGTTTTCTAAAAATTTATTTTTTATTTGATTTATTTTGTGAGATTTAGCATGGAGCCTTCCAAACATTCTTTAATTAATAATAGACCGGTGTTAAAGAAAACCTTTGGTCGATAGCAACACTTCTCGGATTCTACATCTAGCTAGTACTCCCTTCGTCCAAAAAATTTAATGTTTTAGGATTTTTAGGGTAGATTAATAATCAACAGAAATTACTCATATATCCCTATTTATTGAAGGTGAAAAAAAACTTTTATTGAAAGGAATATACGGAAATATGCAGATCACAATCTCAAGTTGGTATGAACCTAATCTATTATCCAAAAGCTAAAACATCAAGTTTCCTGACATATTTTTTTGAATTCTAGAATATATCAAGTTTTTTGGATGGAGGGAGTACATTGGATTCCCTAACTTTGTTCACTTTGAGTCCCTCACAAGGCATCAAACCAAAAGGATAGTGTACTGACTCAATAAGGATACTGTAGGACCAGATTAGGCAGATATATAACGAGGAACAGAGGAGCCTTGCTACTTATTATACTAGCATGCCTTTATTAATCTTTAACTTTTGAAAATTCTGCAGCGGCCCGTTAGCTGGTTCCAAGCAAAGAATCGTCTTTTGTTTTCTTTTTCTCACCCAATAAGCAAAGAATCATCTCTGATGAGCATACAGACACACAAAAGAAAAGTTTATCCGAACATTTGGCTAAAAGCAAAGCTACTTTTCTCACCCAATAAGCAAAGAATCATCTCTGATGAACATTTGCTTCTCTCTAGACTCTCCCTCAGACCCATCCTCACACACGCACACAAGCCCAACACTCGCTCAATCGTCGGTTCGATCTGTTTGGCTTCTATCTCCTGCAGCTGCATGCAAATTCAACATAACCGAGGTATGTAATTTAATTATTGGATCTACAATGTATGTAATAACATGCTCATAATCATGGGAAAAACAACTAATTGGAAATTACATGCAATCTTTGGTTTAATCCGTTTATCTTTCTACATATCTCCTGCTATATTCGAGGAAAAAAAAACAACTAATTTCTGCTGCGTATTCGAGAAGAAAAAATTTATATATGCCCTGCTACTGCATGCCAATTAAATATAACCGAGGTATGCAATTTAATTACTAGATCCCTTCCGGCGCAAGTTGAAGTTCATCGATCGTCTCTGCTGCTATGCTGCATATATGTAGCTTTTGCCAATCATGGAAACCAACTAATTTGGAGAAGTGGATACATCACACGTTTGTGGCATAAAATTTATGATGCATGAGGCCCTACTACATATGCATGGATAATTTATATGTTCTTAAATTCCCCTTCCGTCCTAAAATATGATGTATTTTTAGTTGGTCTAACTCAAATTGTCATAAATTTCACAAAAATTCCTTAAAAAAAAGAATATGACGTCAAATAATTAAGCTTCCTTAGACACATTATTATGAAATGTATTTTCATAACTTACCTTTTTATGTAATAGAAGCTAAGATTTTACTATGCAAACTTGGTCAAACAAACTTAAGATAATGTGATACAGAAAAACTGAAGATCTCTTATATTTCGGGATTAAGTGAGTAGTTTCATGCTTGTGTGTTGATCAGGTCAGCGGATGGAATGATCGCGATGGGTTAGATTCCATATATAATTGAAACGGGATCGGTCTGCTGGTCGTTGGCATCGATGTGCATCGACCATTCCCTTGCAAAATGAAGCGGAGGTTGCAGCATTATATTATTAATTGCTGAAGATATAGTTCTGGTACACCGGACAAATAATCCACCAAGCTAAGCCAAACTGACTGGCGCGGCCGGTTACTTCAAATTCAATCCAATCCATCATGCGTACTCAGGTAACCGCCCAGTTAGCAAGATCTCTCTTTTTGTTTCTGCTCCACCTTAATTTCAAGTGATGAGCACCTTAATTTCAAGTGATATGCACATATGGCCTGACGCATATGTGCATATGTATGCAGGGTATTGTGGCCGACACGATAGACGCGGCTGCTGAAGAAATTCTCCAAGTGCTGAAGGAAAAGACTAACAGCCTGTTCGGGAGGCCGTATCGTATCGCGGATTATTTATTGCTGGCTGGTTTGGTGTGAGAGAAAAATATTGTTTCCGACTGAAAATTTACGATCGTTTACGAGCAAGCGAACCGGCTGTAATACTACCAGAACCGTCGGTAGCAGAGACAATGTCTTCTACTTCGACGGCTGGGACGGGCTGGGGGCGTCCGCCGTCCTCCGAGCCATCGCCCAACGCCTCACCACAGCTTCAGCAGATGGGAAGAGAGCCCTGGCCGGACAGGAGTTTGATCAGGTCATCCACATCGACTGCTCGATGTGGGAGAGCAGGAGAGCGCTTCAGCGGGCAGTCGCGGAGAAGCTGAAGCTCCCCAATGAAGTGATGGAGTTGTTCGACAGGCAGGACGAGGAGGATGATTTCCGCGGGGTTGCCCCGGGATCCCGAGCTGAGGTGCAACAAGTTGTCAGGGAGATGTATCAGCACATAAAGAAACTGGATAACAGATTCTTGGTGGTTTTCCACAATGGAAGCAGCGAGGAGATTGATCTTGCCAGTTTGTGTGGCTTCCCTCTGTCCGGGTACTCGACCAGCAAGGTGCTGTGGACATTCCAAGGGAGATTCCGGCTCAAACCTCGGACGAAAGTTGACATGGCCATGAAGACTGACTCTTTTATCTCGGCATACCCATCCTATAAAATGCGAGAGGAGCTCTGGCCCTACCTTGTACTCCAAGAGGCTGCGGAAGTAGTTGCGGCATGCAAGGTCAAAACTGGGTCTGCCGGCATTATCGATCAGCCCGAACAAGTGGTCGAGTGCTTCCAGTACATATGCGAGCTATGTTGCAGAGGCAGTCAGTGGATTGACTATGATTTGGACACCCACATCACCAACTACTGGGTATGTGATGGCGTCATACATCAGCAGCTACAACAGGGACAGAGAGATGATGGGTTGTGGCGAGCTGCTGATGCTCTGCAGTTTGAGATGCAACTGGATGCGGACTACCATCAATATTTGCTTTCCCCTCACTTATTAGCAACGTTTGTCAAGAGCAAGCCATTCTGGAGTTCACCGACTTGTGGGTTTACTCGGATCTCGGACCGAGCTATTCCAAATGGAGGCATGTTCCAACACTATGCTGACAAGCTTAGTGTTCTCAAGCTCTCAGGCTGCACCTTTGATTTTCAGGCACCTCCATTCCTCTGCTCCCAAAGCCTCAGGTTTCTGTGGCTTGACCATTGCCAAGGCACCATGACAAGCACAGATCGAGCGGGAAAGGAGGACGACATCCGCCGGTGCTTTCAGAGCTTGTGGGTGCTCGACGTGCGCTACACAGACTGTGATCAGATATTGTCTGCGCAGATGTTGGCTCTCATGACCCAGCTCAGGGAGCTAAATGTGATCGGAGCCAAGGGATGGGACATGGGCCAGCTACAGGGACGATTGCCTAACATCCGCAAGCTCCGAGTAAAAAAGTCTGGTGTCAAATGCAGTTGCTCGGAAAATGATCTGTTCTCGGAGATGAACCAGATGGAGCATCTTGACTTTTCAGGAAACTATACGACTGGTGGCTCATTTGGGCCAGGGGTAAGCAGCAATGTTAGTTGCCTTGAGACTGTCGTCATTGTTGACGGATGTCATGTGGGACAACAAATCTCCTTCCGCGGATGTACTAAACTGAACAATCTACTCTTGGGAGGAGGGATGTGGCTCCACACCCTAGACATCTCAGGCACAGCAGTGAAAACACTAGATCTCAGTACAACAGACATCGGGCACCTTGATGAGCTCTATCTACTTGACTGCGAGAAGCTTTGTGCAATCCTGTGGCCACCGAAAGAGCAAATGAAACAAGAAGGCTTGGGTAAGCTGTGCATTGATACCACGCAGTCAGCACCCACTGCCCAATCGAGAGAAGAAAACCCCAAGAGGGGAACTAGTACTGCTACTACAGGAACATCAGTAGCACCTGCAGCTGCACCACATGGCAGTCGGCCAAGCAGTGAATTTGACTGGCACATTTCTGTACGGGACGCAAGGCTCCTTGGGTCCCTGAAGCCAGTCTATTCTGATTCCCGCAAGGCATATGTGGAGATTTCCTCTCCTCCTCATCCTACCGCTGTTGGTGGTGGTGGCAAAGATGAAGGAATATTCAAGAGCGCAGGCAGTCGTGAGCAGCAATTGCTGGTAAACCTGCAGCGTCAGCCTGCGCCTACAGTATACACAGATATCTCCGTGGACCGCGTACAACAAGCTAGTGAAGGCGGTGATGATACTCTGGGAATCATGTGGATGTGGCCTTGCCCGGATGTTCCTGATCTTCCAGAAAAGATGTGCTACATGCACATACAAGACCAGATAAAGACAAAATTACCTCAAGGTAGTGAAGAGACTAGTACTATTACTGTCCCAGAGTTTGTAACTTTCTCTGCTAAGATCCTGCATGTGCACGATAGCCTGTCCATCACTAGTATCACTTCAGAAGAATATGATGGTTCAGTATGGCCTGACCTAGAGTGGTGCAGAATCGAGAGGTGCCCCAATTTGGACTTTGTCTTCAATGAAGTTCAAGGCTTTAGCGCCACATATCAGCTGAGAATATTCTGGGCATCCCAACTCTTAAAGTCAAGATATATCTCGACATCAAATGGACTTCTGCCCCAGGCTTATACACGTACTCCCTTTGACCATGGTCGAGGAAGAGGACAGCTTGTGCCTCCTGGAGACCCTTGAGATTGCATGGTGCGGTGATCTCAGGGAGATATTTCCTTTTCCAAGGAGACAAGCCAAATTCCAAAGACTTCCCCAAGTTGAAGAGTATCCACCTGCATGAGCTCCCTTCACTACAGCACATTTGTGGGGTTAGAATGTCTGCACCGAATCTTGAGACAGTCAAGATCAGGGGCTGTTGGAGCCTCAGGCGCCTTCCTGACATTGGCCGCAGCAACAAGGTAGTGGAGTGCCATCCACCCACGGTATTACAAGAAGACCATGCTCAGGAGCAGTGTGCTCAGGTAGTCCCTCACTCTTTTCCATCATGCAGTTGAAGTATATTAGAATTCTGTCTCCCGAGTCTATTTAGAAACCAATTGAACTCCCTTCCCTCCATCTCTGCCAACTAACTCCCAAGTTTTTACATATGCTTATCATAGTACAAGACAACTACAGTAGTATTATTTATGATGCTGACTAATGGCTTAGTGGTTAGTGATGCATTATGCATTCCTTTTATATATGTGCACCAAGGGCGATTGCCATGCCAGCACTTCACATTGTTGATTTGCTCACCAGATTGAAGGATATTATTGTTTTTCTCTGATGCTCTCCTCTCCAACTCCTGTAGGTGAGGTAACCCGGCCGGCTCTTTGTTGGATTACAGTAACTGGCTGGCCTGCTAGCTGGTGTCTCGCCTTCGATCTCGTGCTCACAGTTCTGCTTCTCTGCATCCACTTGACCGGTTCGTGTGTGAGCGCGCACGTGCAAATGACAACATGGATGCATATGCTTTTGCTTGCGTCCTGTGGTCTGTCTTGTTTGCATCAGTTTGCTTTGCTTTGGTTTGTTTGGTCAGGTTTCCTTGAGGGATCCAGCCATCCATCCATCACTGCAGCCTATGTGCTCTGATTGGGCAGTAGTGAAATAAAATAAGAGCCAGTGAGCATTCAGTCCAACAGCTGAATTCCCTTCAGCTTGTGCAACAGCAGCATGAGACATGCCCTCATGCGTGCTACTGCCAATTGGTGTGCTCTTGTCTGGTGTGATTGTGAACTTTGGTTTGGTGTGTGCTGCACTGTTGTGTGGTGTGTTGACCTTTCAGTTATGTGTGGAGTAGAGTGATCAATGTTATTGTTGCTCTACTTATGTTTGTGAACAAATAAATAAATGTTGATGGTTGTATGTGTGATTTCAACATCCAGTACTACGTATGGAACTATGTATGTGGGTCCAATACAAATGTTTCTTACTTGGTAAACATGTGCTAACTCTTTTATGGAGTGCAATAATACTATTGTCACATATACTCTGCGGTGACAAAATTTATGCTCGTAAATATATGTGGTCATGTATAAATTGATATCTCTCCATAGTCCAATCTTCCTCTGATGTCTATTAGTTCCTTTTTCTCGGATGTGAAGATGTGAACGTCAATTCATCATGGAATTTTTCTAGACTGCCGAAGGAAAAGTGGTGCCTTTAGGGCCCGTTTGGCACAACTCCACCATCGGTTCCTGGAGCTATTTGGAGCCATTTTGTGCCATATGGGATAAAACAAAATAACTCCACCCAAGGAGCCCCTTAAAACCTGCCGAGACAGAGAATAGGTGCGAGATGAAGCTAGAAATAGTGGCTTCACCCAGCTCCACCTCGCCTTAGTGGGCCCAGCAAGTACGGAGACCCGTTTTGCTCCTGCATAGAGAAGAAGAGGCGTGTGCATGGGGAAGCTAGGCTGCGCCTGTCGGGGCGCGCAGGGAAGACCGGAAACGGGCGCCGAGGGCGTAGAATCCGGCCGCAGGACGCTCGCGGGTGCTGGTGCGGACAAGGGCGCCGCCGCCCGAGCGTGCAGGAGCGGACGCCGTTGCCAGGGGGTGTGTGGGATGCGAACGCCACCTGCCAAACGCGTTGGGGCGGACAAGGGTGCCGCCGTCGAGGCGCGCGGGACGTAGCCGCACCTGCTAGAGGTGCTCGGGCGCAGACGACGCTGCTTTGGGGTGCGCAGGACGCGGCCGTCGCATGCTAGACATGCACGGTCGTGGGCATCGCTGCCGGGGGCCTGCGGGCGCCACCGGATGTGTTGAGAAGGACCGAGAGAAGAAGAAGGACGGAGAGAAGGAGGAGGAGGAGGAGGAGGGTATTTTGGTCTTTTCATTAATATTGTTTACAAGGAGGAGCTGTTTCGTCAAACAGTCCATAAAAATAGTTGCAGCTCTGTCGAGAGAGCTGTTTGAGGAGTTGAAGCTGAAAAAATGGCTACACTAGTCAAGTGGAGCCATGCCAAACGGGACCTTAATTAGCAAGTTGCTTTATATGGATACCTGACTGACATTTTCAAAGAAAAAAAAAGCTCGGCTTTTGACAGTTCAGTTAGTCATGATGGCACTCACTAAAGATAAAAAATAATATGGGTTTCATGTTTAAATATTGTTTTGCTGTCTACTTCTTTTATTCAATGGGTTTTTGTTTTAGGCAAATTTTGCTTACGGACACTGTTCAACCGCGTAATTTGTTAATGACATCGCCAATTCTAAAATTTGCTCGGTACCATTATGAAATTATGTTTCTTTGCTGCTGGACAACGCAAACATTAAAATACCCATTTCAATGGATTGGGAGAAAGAAAGGCGCGTGAATAGATCATATTGCCCATGCAAAAAAGGGGAAAGGACCAATATGCTTTCCATGCAAACATATGTGAAGTCGAACCGGAAGAGATGGGCACAAACTAATAAATAACCAAAGAAATTCATAGCATTAGCGAGGTTACAGCGGTCTATTTGGACTCACTATCACAAAAACGATTTTAGGAGATCGTCTCTCTGATAAGCAGAGGCGTGCACATCTAGAGACCGCCTCCGTAAATGGCCAGACGGCCTCCACGCAAATTCCCACCTTTGAAAATCAATTACTGAGGTGGTTCCCACCTTTGAAAATCAATTACTGAGGTGGGCGGCCTAAGATAGATATCTTTAGATGTCCATCTCTAAAAAATTGCTATCAACAGAGGCAGCCATTTTAAGTGTCCATCTCTAAAATCGATTTTCTGAGGCGAACATATTAAGATGTCATCTCTAAAAATAGTTCATTAAAAAATAATTCATAATTTTTTCATAAGAACTCGACAAACTTTATATCAAACTGTAGTTGAGAAGTTCTTCATTCAAAAGAGTCCTAAAATATTATTTTAAATTTGTGGATTTAAAATTTTAAAAATTTTAAACAACCTCAGATGTTGACATGATCCATACTTAAGCTGTAGTTCTCAATACATGACTTGGATTTATGATTCGTGCTCATACGAGTTACAGCAACTAACGTTCAGCGATGATAAGAAATTCGATTCCAAGATATATCGGGTTCCATGCTATGCATTGGCACGTTTCCTATCCTAGTTAATATTAGAGATAGTGATAGATTTGCTATCCACTTCTGTTCATATTAATTAACGCTTTAATATTAGGGATAGAGATATATTTCCTATCCACTTCTTCTGTTCATATGATTTAGCTAAGAGACAATGGTGTTATCGTGGTCCATCTCAACTTTGTCCGGAGGTAATCTATCCCTAATCCCTAATACTAAATCCCTAATACTAAAGAGACAAAATTTCTTGCCACCCTAAATTTTCGTCCAACCTAATCTTGAAGTGGCTCAGACTCGCCATCAAATACGAAAAACTATGTCCGTGTTTTTTCCATGAACCGTCCATTGTTTCCGTCCCTTTCCCGTTTTTTTTTCGTTTCCTCTTCCCACCATTACGTGACTTTTTCTTCTCTTTTTTATCTCCCATTTTTTCTTGTAATAAAAAAAATAATAAATATATTATGAGTCTCCTATTTTTTAACTTTCCAAAATGCGCTCACGCCCTCCGTGCGCCATATGTGAGTCCGGACTTATGGTCTGTGCTCATACAAGTAAGCATAACTCGCATTTCTTATCTTTTTTATCCCACTTTTTCTTATAAATAAAAATAATAAATATATTATGAGTCTCCTATCTTTTTACTTTCCAAAATGCGCTCACGCCCTCTGAGTCCCGTATGAGAGTCCGGACTCATGATCCGTGCTCATATAAGTAACCACAACTCGCATTTAGCAATGCACGGGCACAATTGTTAGCAAAATAAACAAAATCTTTCAATAGTCTACGTTGGATCGGTGAGACGTGCAAAACTACACGATACCGGTGTAGGTGAGTACTTTATCGACATATTTTTAGGTTTTATTATTTTCTTTTCCCGAGTATAGTTTGATATGTTTTTTCGTGGTTTTTGTATTTTTATTTTTCCCAGAGCAAACTCAGACACGTGAAGGGTCGTGCGTTCGCGCCCCGACGAGGGGAAGAAGAGCCACCTAGCGCCGGGGGTCACGGTTCCAGGATAGAATTCACTAACAGACAGGTGTACAAGAGGGTTTGGGTTGGTGGTCGCGACATGGCGGTGATGGTGGCCAAGACGATGTGGGCACCACTCGCCGGGGCGGTGGGAGATGGCAGTTTGTGCAGGGCTGGCAGCGGGGGCGTCGTGCCGGAGTAGTCAACAGGATGGTTAGGGTAGTGCGGCGTGGATGGTTGGTGGGGCAAATGATCCTGTGTGAGCTGCCGATCATGGGTCCTAGAAGCCCGATGGAGGGGGCGGCGGCTGAGGGGTGCTAGAGGCAGTGTGCGCAAGCGAGAGCAGGGGTGGGGGCGGCGCCGGCAAGGAGGAGGATGGATCACGCGGTTCCCAACCACGCGACCCTTCTCCCGTAGCAACGCACGGACATATTTGCTAGTCTCTACTTAATATTCAAAGGGTTAAGTACACTTTTCAACCCTGAACTTACACAGGAGTTTGAATGTGGACCTCCAACTATGAAACCAGGCAAAGGAGACCATCCAACTTATAAAACCAGACACTTTTCAACCCTGAACTCAATCCACCCTGGTTTCACAGATTACAGTCCGTAATTAACATCAATATGGATAGCAGAATAGTAATTGAAGCCAACAGCATGGCATAGATATCTCAAAATACAAATTCCATATGCCAACAACATGGCAATGACAAGTCTTCACATATAGGCCAATAGTTAAAGGGTCCCATAATTAAATAAAACAACATGACTAACAGAGTTCTCACATGATAGCATAGTAATAGAGCAACAGAGTTTGACATACACATGGATAGCATAGTAATAGACCAGACACTTTAAGTCATAGCTTCATATCTTCTTGCCACTCCCGGATGATGAAGCGCCACGAGCAGGAGGAAGCAAGTACTGCTGGAACTTTGCCGGTGTTTTTTCCTTTCTCTTTGATGGTTCTTGAGCACTGACTTTTGCCGAGGCTGATCCAAAGCTTATATGTACTGTGACACTAGAGCTTGCTTGAGATAATGGTAATTGTGCCTTGAGGTTTAGTGTAGCAGATACTATTTTTATTTTACTGATAACAAATTAACAGGAAGAACCGATTAAAAGTTGACACTTGTTATTTAGAAAAAAAAAACAAGCCCTAAGCCCCTGACCCACTTACATGTAGGGACTCTAGTCTCAGTTCTCATACCTCTGCAGCTGAGGAGAGGAGAGTACTACTCGTCATCCTTATCCACACGGCACTCATTTACTCCCATCCTCCATTCCTTTCTTCCCCAAACCAACACAAGCTCACCCTTCTCTCTCTCAAAAAGAAAAAATCAAGGCTCAAGCAGCCATGGATCGATGGGGCACCGTGGGAGCTAGGAGGTCAGCATGGCTGGTACTCGGCCTCTTGGAGGATGCCGGAAGTAGCTCTCCTTCAACCAAAGCTCCCCTCTCAAAGCAAAAGAAATGTCGTTCTTTTCTTTCAAGGTGATTTTTTTTCTTTTTTTCTCTTGAAAAATTTGGTGGATTTGGAGTTTCAATTCCTAGGAGATTTGTTTTGGCTGGTCCAATTGGAAGCTCGGTTCCATTTTTTGGCCTTTTGTTTTCTTTATTTCCTCTTGCTCATATGAAGATTTCTTCGCAACAGGGCAATAGTTGAGGATGCTGTGCGACGAGAACAAAGAACACAAGATAAGCTTTGACAAACGCGTGAAGGCGTGCGTGAACGCCGAAGGAAAATTTTCCCTGAGCTTTGATCGTATTTTTCCTTTCCTCCAAAAGTACAGCCTGTCTTGCCTTTCCTCTGGAAAGTCCCTTTTTCTTTGTTCTAAACGCATCCCCAGCATTCCTTTCCTCTGGAAGCAAAACCTCCATTTTTCCTATGTTCCAAACAGGAACTAAAGTGATTCCATCGAAATCCATGTCTACCGACAACTACTACCACCACATTGATGATTCCAGGGAGGAAAGAGACAACCAACTCACCTCTGTGTCTTAACCCTTAGCGCTCGAACTGCATCAACACCACGAGGAAGTCACTGCATCGAACTCCATGGATTGGACGTCGGCACTGCGGTTGCCAGCAATGAGGAAGGCATTGGGCAGCGTCAGGCGAGGATGGTGGGGTGGCGTCGTGGGGAAGAGAGCGGCGTCGCGCGGAGGACGGCAAGGCGATGTGGCACGGACCACGGTGGGGCGACGTGGCTCGGAGGACAGTGGGGCGGCGTCGGAGGGAAGAGGAGCAGAGGCGCCGTCGCCCGTCGCGCGGAGTGGCGAAGGATCGATCTAGGGTTCGTGGTGGGACTTGCGGTAGGAACGGGAATGCCTAATGGGCCGGCGCACGGGCCCTTTTTTTGCGACTCGTTTTTTTCGATTCACGAACTGTTGAGTCGGCGCACAATACCACGGTGGAACAGGGCAGGGGGGTCATGTGCCCGGTTTTGTAAGTTGGATGGTCTCTTATGCCTGGTTTCATAGATGGAGGTCCAAATTCATACTCCTTTGTAAGTTTAGGGTTGAAAAGTATACTTTACCCATATTCAAAAGTATATAAATGTTTTTTCATGTCTATATTCGTGTCTAAGAGCATCTCCACGAGTATCCTATTTTTTCTTCCCAAAACATGATGTTTTCCAACTCCCAAAAACATCTCCACGAGTACCCTATTTTTTCTTGCCAAAACATGATGTTTTCCAACTCCAAAAAGATATTAGGAGTAATAAAAAAAAGGCCATCTTCAAGTGTTTACAATAATTTACTCCCAAAACAGTCCTGCACCAAATTTTGTTGATGGCAGTTTTTTTTTTTTTTTTTTTTTGCACGTGAGATCGTGAGCCGCATCTCCGCCGCCGCCAGGGTCTCCGCCGGCCACCAGGACCTCCAAGCCGGCCGGCACCCACAGCAGGCCGCGCATCACCCGGCCAGGGTCAGGTCACGCACGAGGCCATCACCAGGCTTTTCCATCCGGTCACGCAATATATTAGGTGTTAGCAGGCCGCGCATCCGATTCCGAAATATAGTAGGTGTCCGCTGTTGTGCACGGATACTTACGTCTTCTGATTCTGGAGGACTAATCTAATCTATGAAATCAAAGGAACGAAGGGAGCAAACCGATCTACACCACGTTTACGTTTTCGTGCTGAGCGGCAGGCATGGGCAGCCACGACGCCATCCCCGACGATGTTCTCGAGCTCATCCTACTGTGTCTGGAGTCGCCGATCTGGCTCCTCCGCGCAGGGTCGACGTGCAAGCGATGGCGACGCGTCATCGCCTGCGCTGGTTCCCTCCGCCGCTGCCGCGCCCTCCACAACAGAGCACCCATCATCGCTGGCTCTTACTACAACAGCCAAAACTTGATCTGTCGTCCACGCTTCGAGCCCTCGCCCTCGTTGGCATCCGCCGTCGACGGCCGCCACTTCTCCCTCGACTTTCTCCCCATGAACGGAAGTAACAACCACTGGAAGTTAAAGGACGGCCGCCAGGACACCAGGACTTCAACCGCGACGACTTCAAGACCGGACACCAGGACTTGATCGTCTGCGAACCCCTGGCACGGCGCTATCAGATGGTTCCGAGTCGTTGTCTGAGGGTGGTGGCATCGGCATGTCGAATTACAGGGTGTTCTGCTTGGATGATCACGGCGAACGCATTCACGCCGGGATCGATCTACGTATCGGGCAGCAGCACCTGGCGCCTAGAGAACATCGACAGCCTGCTCAGGCTCTCTATACTTCGCAGGGATCGCCGCGGGCCGGCTGTACTGGCACGACAGAGAAAAGATGGTGGTGGCGCTAGACAAAAGCACCCTCGAGTTCTCTTCTTTCGTGTTGTCTGACGACGAGGATTGGAATAGTCCCCACCTCTAGCCTACCTAAGGTGGCCCTCAGCGTTGGCCGCGACGGTGAGGCTCGCATCGTGGTCCACGGGGCCGGGGACATCCTGAAGGTCTTTGTGAGGATACGTGGCGGCGGCGAGGAGTGGGCGCTGGAGAAGACCGTACAGCTATCAGTGGCAATGCTCGGCCTGAAGGGGCATCGATGGATAAGTTTGGCTTGCGAGCGGCCTGTGGTGGCGGCCACGGACCACGGTGCACCTCCGGGTGCCGCCGGCGCCAGGGACCATGGCGGAGTTCCGTTTGGGCATGGACACAATGGCGGTGGAGCTCCTGCCCTGGCCTCCGGTGGGTTACGGGTATAATAAGGCGTATCCTTACGAGTTTCCATGGCCTCCGTTCTTGTGTGCCTGCACTGACAACCTATGTTAATCGGCTATTATATCGTAATAAGGATCAGGATAACGTTGGGTGCTACTTCAGCCATAGTGTGCCATCCTATCCTATCCTATCCTATCCTATCCTATCCTATATACCTATATAGAATGGAGGCCACTAAATTCATTTATATTGCTATAAAGCTGCAACCACGTTAAGCCACGTCTTTCCGCTGCCAACTTTTAATCAATTTCATTATGCACTACCATCCATCACCCGTTAGAGATATTGATCAACTTAGGGTTTGTTTGGGACTGCTCTGCTTCATCTTTTGTAGCTCTGCTCCTAAACTTTTTTGTCAAACAGGTTCAACTCCACAAACTCTGCTCCAAAAAAAAAAATGGAGTTTTGGTCCAACTCTATGTTTTTCGCGGAGCTCCTCAGAGGGTACTCCACAAACCAGTGTTTCGTATGTCCTCGTGGAGTTGGAGCCCGCAATTGCCACTCGTTACGCAAATACCATTTCGTTTCTTTCTTTCTCTCCCGTTCTTCCCCGTCCCGACTCGCCTGCGGCGCTTCTCTCCCGTTCTTCCCCGTCACGGCTCGGCCGCGCTTGGCCCTACCGCCACCAAGCCGTGACAGGCCGGCCCAGCAAATCCCTGCTCCCCCTCGGCGCCGGACTGCTGCTCCCGATGGCCGCTCCCCTCCGCGCCGGACTGCTGCTCCCGCCGGCCGCTCTCCTCCACGTCGTGCACGTGCTGCCACTCTGCGTCGGGCTGCTGCTCAGCTCCCGCCGGCCGCTGTCCTTTCCGCTCCTTTCTCCCCTGCTCCCGTAGGTAAGCTCGTCGTTATGCCATTCCATGCTCCTCTCTCCTCCCCCTCCTCCCTCTTCGTCCTGCTCCATCCATCCCCATCCCCGTCCTCGTCCTCAGGTTTGGTTGCTGCTCGGTTCGGCCGGCGAGCCACCATCCGTTTCCACATGATTGCTAATCAGGCCGTCTGCCTCTCCTCGCTAATCAGGCCGCCTCCCAGATCTAGGTGCGGCCCTCCCCTGCTCCTGAGCGGTGCAAGGGTCACCTGCTCCCAAGCGTCGCAAGAACAAGTAACTTTTTCCCCCAGTTTGATTCATTCAGTCATTGCTGCTGATTTCAATTTTCAATTTCAGTATGTGATTTCAGATAGCAATTTCAATTTGATTATAATTATGTGCTTTCAGTTAGCAATTTCAGTTTTCAAATTTGTTTTTGCAATTTTAGTTATTAATTTCATTTAGCAATTTCGTTTCAGTTACAAATTAGTAACCTGAAGTTGAGATAAAACAAATTGCATTTCAGCTTTGTTGAAATGAAAATTAGTTGCTTGACTACTTGTGCATTTCAGATACTGCTTTCAGTTAGAAAGTTTCAGTTTGCTTCTAAGATTGGTGTCCCTGCTTCCTTTTGAAACCGGTGTCCCTGCTTTCAGTTCTAATAAAAATATTTGTTTTTTACTCTTCTCCAATAAATTAAATGAGATTATAATATTTACACCATATTTGAATTGGTAAAAAAAAATATTCAATTACACATGCTCTGCATAAAACAGAACATACACCAAACATCGATCAGGGGCATAGTAGACCTTTCCTATAGAAACCTCATGTTTCCAGAGCTGGAGCTAAACTGCGTGCCAAACAGGTCCACTTGCTCCAGATGTCCTGCATGCTCCTAATGCCCTGCATGAAGTTTTCGCAGCCAGCATGTCTTTCATTGTGCACTAAACAAGTCAAATCCCAACACTTTTTTCTCGAATACGCAAAAGATTTACGCATCTTTGTATTAAGGTAAAAAGTTTGATACACAACGCGCTTCTAACGAGCTCCCTAGGAGGTCTACAGGATTACAACCATGGGTTGGACCATCCTAGCAAACGAGTACAAATTTCATTACTACATAAATGGTAGACAACCGGGATAAGGACAGCGACACAACCTAGTGAGGCGGCTTTGCGCTTCCACTGTCACCGGCGCGACTCCTTCCCGCCGCTCTGGAAGAGCGCTTCCAGCACTTCGACGTTGGAAGTGGTGGGTTCAGCCTCGTAGAGTGCCTCATAGGTCTTTATCTCAAACGCATTTGGCGTTGACCGACCCGTGACCAAACCCATTCACTGCATGATTAGAATCTCACCTCGCTTGGAAGCAGGCACCCGAGAGAGGCTCTGAGCTGCTAGATGCTTGCTCCGCAGCGGCAGCACCACCTTTGCAGGCAGCGGCTTAGGGCGGCTCATGAATCAGCGGGGAGGCCCTATTACGCACCACTGCCTTGGTGAAGTTGTCGAGGCGGCGCTTGAAGGAGCCGTCATTGTCAACGATCTAGTGGCCATCCCCAGGCGGTATACTGGGATCCGTCGTGAGGTGGACCCAACCGAAGCCTGGTGGGTAGTCCTCTTCACCCACCGAGGGGGGATCGACGCCCGAGAGGTCGTTGAACACCAACCACTTTGGCGTGACCTGTGTCTGCCCCTGCTGAGGCGACAGCGGGGGCGAGGTGGGGCGCGGGGGTGGTGTTCGCAGCGTCATCGGGTCGGCCTGCTGGGACGACATCTGTTGCCCGCAGGTGCAGACACAGGTGACCACTGCCGGGGACTCATCCTCAGGCTGGGTGACCGCCGGAGCTTGGTGCCCAAGTGGAGGCCACATGGCGATCCGACTGCTAGCGAGCGAAGCCACGAGCTCCACCAACATCGGGTCCTCCATGACATCGCGGTCAAGTGTGGAGTCCATGTACGGCGTCAGAGTCAGCGGGTCGAGCTTGACAAGGCCTGTCTCACTGATCAACTCACTGTGTCCAGCTTGGGCACCAGCAGCGGCAGAGGTGTCGTCCGGCGCTGCCGGGGTGACCCCTGCAGATCAACCATGGCTCCTCCATCGCCGGCGTCGACGTCTAGGCCGGGCTCCGGCAGCAGTGTCTCGCCCGGTGCTACCTGTGCGGCCCCTGTTGACCGACCGTGGTGCCTCCGTCGTCGCTGTCGTCGTCGGCCGCCATTGGTAGGACCGTTGTTGTCCACCAACACAACCCCACTAGAGTCTCGTGCAGGTCGTTGTGGCTGGCCACCCACGGCGTGTGCAGCGCCCCAAGCACCACGGATTGTGGCTACTTGCAGTCTCGCGCAAGGTGTCAAAAACCCTTGCAGCGTAGACAACGCTGGGCAGCCTACACTTTGTCACCCGATGCGTGGAGGAGAGGCAATTGAGGCACCCGTCGTGTAGCTCTGTCGGAATGCGTCTCGAAGGCCGACCGTTCGCAGGCCGTTCGGATGCTGACCCATCACCGCCGCTTGACCTTGCGCCAGCCATCCGCGTCTGGGGCGGAGATGCGGCAGCTATTGCCGGTAGGCACCCATGGGTCGAGTCTCTAATGGACCGGCAAGCACCGGTTGACATCACTCGTGAACCGAGAGGATCCGCCGCCAACGTCCCTGCTGCATACAGGTAGCCCATGGAAAGTCTAATTCCTTCACTCTCCGATAGCATTTATCACTTTATCGAGGAGCTCAACGGTCATTTGATAGATTTATTACCTCCTTCCAAAGGCCAAAGATGAGCAATCCAGGCATAACTATCATGATTCAAAGAAAGGAATCCGATTTGTCCTAGGCGTTTAGGTGCGGAGCTTCTATAGCGGTAAAGCCTCGGTATACAGGTGCTCAAAGTGCTCCATGCACTGTTTTCATGCATATCGGGCCTATTTGGTTGGAGACCTGACTTGCCTGGTAAAAAGTGTTATCTGGAAGTTGCCTGGAATTTTAATAAAATATGTCTTGCCAGGCAAGTAGGAAAATGATGTGTTTGATTGAAAGCCAGTGCCTGAGAAGTTTAATAGAGAGAGAAAATATATTTTCTTGTGTATATAACTTTAACTTTAACATGGTTAGAGCAATACATATTATTATAATACAAAAAATAATATAAATAATTTTTTAATAAATTAATATTATAAAATACAAATAATGTTACTATTTATAATAAAGAAATCAATATAGAATAAAATATATTCAAGGTATTTCGGCCACAACTATTACCGAATGACCAATAAAAAATAGGAACAAGAGTACCTATTTAAATATTAATTAATGGTGTCATCTCGGTCACCAAAGAGCTACAGCCGAGAAATGAAGAAGAAAAACTACCGACGCGACAGCTCTAACCCAGGCAAACACCGTGCGCTGCACCAGGCACTCGTTTTAAGGCCACCTTGCCTGGCCCATTCAGCTATGCAGGGCTCCATCCAAATGCAGCACAGGTGGCATCCAGGCAGCTGTTGACCCAGGCAAGTTTGGTTCAGGCCACGAACCAAACAAGCCCATCATGCTACATATTTTATGATTATGTCCCTACTATCCATCATTTTCTTTGTGGTCACAAATATCATGGTTGGTGGACATCTCCATATTATCGATTTGAGGCTTTCAAATACATTTTCCCATTGCTGAGCATTACCCATCAATTCAGATGGTATTAAGGTCCTAATATCCTTGATATAATTCTAGGTTCTACCATGTATCACTACGTGAAAAACGGTTTGTAGCAATAGGATAAATTTTTTGTAGGGGCGGCTGGTGATGGAGCCGCCCCTATAGTGGTGTGCTTGGGAGCCACGAGACCAGCCGTCCCTACAAATAGAACAGTAGGGGCGGCTGGTGATACGAGTCGCCCCTACAAATGGGTCAAATTTGTAGGGGCGACTCACTCATCAGCCGCCCCCGGTGTTGAGATTTATAGGGGCGGCTCAATAACCGGCTGCCCCTACAAATGCTCCAACAAATAAACACCGTTCGGCTGGTATACAAGCCCCCGACGGCGTTGTGTCGTCTCCCTCTCTCCCATTCGCTTGCCCGGGTAGGGTTCCACTCCTTGCGGCGCTGCGCGTCTCCGTCCGCCGCTCCCCGCCACCCTCCGGCCGTCAATCGACCGCAAACGTCGGGATCCGCGCTGCCCCCCCCTCGACCCGTCGCCTGTCCCCACCGTCGATCCGTCGTCGATTGGCGGCGCCGCCGGTTTCTCTGAGGTATTTCCTCGCCGTCGTCGCCTTTTTTGTCCCTCCCCCCTTCAGATCTGGCCGTCAAAGACCTCTGACATCCCACTTTCGTTTCAACATGATCCCTGTGCGTCCGAGATCCGGCCGATTTGAAATCCGATCTAGTTGTTCATGTCCTCGTCGCCTCATTGGACCCGTCATCGGCCGTCGATTTCGCCAGATCCGGTGCGTAACCATTTTAAGCGCACCCTTCCCGCTGTTCTTACGACTCCGGTTAGTCTAGGTTTAGATTTGTTTGCAATCGTCGTCCCTAATTGCTACTACACTTCTTAGTTGCTCACAATCCCCCCTGCGTTGTCCTGTCCACTCTAGGAACCTCGTATCCATCTGGTCCTGCTCCTCGTTCCCAACACTGGCACTTTCGTCCTCCTCCTCGTGCTCGCCTCCGGAAGGTCCGCACTACAACCTAAGGCCCAGAAGACCGATGCTTCCAAAGAAGGCAAGTTCACATGCGTTTACATTCCGCATCTTGTCGAGGAGAGCAGGTTTGTGGATGGGCTTGCTAATATAGTGTTGTAACCAAGTCATCACTTGTGCATTATATGGGTCAAATCTTATTTTGTGAATGTGCAGGTGCAGCCAGGTGGGTGAGGCGTTGGTGAATGTGGTTTGGAGGATGCCATGACGAAGATGGAAGGTTGGGTATGTGACTTTTGCATGGCTATCTTCGTTTTCCTGTGATTTGTGTTGGAAATCGTGTGTTATATATTGCCTGCACCTGCACATGGGGAATAGTTGCTGACGAACACCCTCTGAATAGCAATTTTGTACCTGACATTTTAACTCCATCCACTACTTTACAGTGGTCCTGAGTCCTCATGATTAGTTACTTAAATGACTTTGTGACATTTAGGTGGTAAGTTCATTTGGTTCACATGCTAAAATATGGCACATCAATGTAGAAGTATGAAACCTGAGTTTATTTGGTGATATTTTTGCTCATTTGCAATTCTACATAAATAGATTCTCCTTAAACACATACATGTTTTTATTTGCCTTCATGATGTCTCAATTCATCTACGGAAAACATTTCATGGATTGTAGGAAAACATTTCAAGTTCTATCTTCACAAGGTACTACACCACCAGCCTAATCTTCCATTTGAACATGTTTACAGTCTCTGTCTTTTGCTGCCAGTTAGATAATTTTCTGATAGATGCTGCTGCTTCTTATGGTAAATACGTCAGTTCAGACATTTCATCAGTGTGAAAGAGAATTCATATTTTATTTGCACGTAGCATATAAGTTTTTATATATTTGAATGTGATGCACTATGTTTTTGTTGTGAAATTGACAATTCTTGGATGCATGTTGCTGCAACTTGTGGTAAATATGGCCATTCAAATATCTGACCTGTGAAGTGTGAAAGGGCACCCATGGACTTCAAACTTGTATATTGAAGTCCTGTGAGGTGGGGATTTTAAGCAAACGTCTAATGCTTTCGATTTAGTATTATTCATATGCTCTGTAAGACCTTAAAATTCCATGTTTTATTTCTTTTTTCAATGCAGGTACACTACAAATTAGAGCTGTTGGAGGAGACCCTTTTCCTAACTGTGAACATCATAGATAGATTCTTGGCACATGAAACTGTGGTGCAGAAGAAGCTTAAGTTAGTTGGTGTAACTGCTATGTTGCTCGCGTGCAAGTATGAAGAAGTGAGCGTACCGGTGGTCGAGGATCTGATCTTAATCTGTGATCGCGCCTACACAAGGGCTGGTATTCTTGAAATGGTAAAAAATGTGCTGCATGTTGATTTTTAGTGCCAAAAAAAAAACAGATAACTGACATTGAAATCTCTGCAGGAGAGGAGGATCGTGAACACACATAATTTCAATATGTCGGTGCCGACTCCATACTGTTTCATGAGAAGGTTTCTAAAGGCAGCACAATCTGAGAAGAAGGTAAGATACTAATACATACTCCTGTTTTTGTGATCAATAAATCATGTAAGCTATAGGTTTGCTGTACAAGTACATAAACCCTGACAAAATCTTTATACTACTGGACAGCTCGAACTCCTGTCTTTCTTCATGATCGAGCTGAGTCTTGTCGAATATGAGATGCTCCAGTTCTGCCCGTCTATGCTAGCAGCTGCTGCCATCTACACAGCTCAATGCACCATGCTTGCTTGGTCTTTTTGTGATATAGATATATGTTTTGTTGTCATAATATGAGTTTGTTTGTTATTATTGTGATTCTTGTACTATAGAAGATGTTTAGAAACTTTTGGCTAAACAATTTTGTTTGGGCCACAATATTACAGTCAAGTTTGCCAGGATACTTGATCATGTATTTTACTCGTCACAGGATGATTTGGGGGAGCACGTGTTGGTAATTTGAATTTTTTTTGACGGAAAAATACACTGTAGGGGCGGTTGGTACTGTAGCCGCCCCTACAAATCGATTTGTAGGGGCGGCTGATAACACTAGCCGCCTCTATAAATCGATTTGTAGGGGCGGTCTGGGAACCGCCCCTACAAATACATGATTTGTAGAGATGGTATGGTAGAGGCGGCTAGCCGAACCGCCCCTACAAACGTCCATTAGCCACCCCTGAAAATCATATCTGACGTAGTGTATACAAGACTTTTCTTTCTAATATATACTTTAGATGCAAGTTACAAGGGAGTGTGAAGTGTTATCAGATATATCCTCGATTTTCCCCATAATCATTGTCTATCATGTCAGTTAGAAAGGAGTGAAGTGTTATGAGATAGCAATAAATGAATTTAATGGCCTCCATCTATATAGGTATAGAGGATATCCTTGATTTTTTCCATAATCATTGTTTAATATCGTAGTGCTTCCTATGAACTAATTTCAATCATCATTATTCTTTCTTTAATATATGACTATTATGAAGCAATAATCAGGTGTGCATCAAGTACTTTTAAATATCATTTTGTAATAATTTAGAAATTTCCACGGCAACACGTGGGGTATCACCTAGTATTTTGAAAGAGCGCGGCCTTGTTCGCTTGAACTTATCAACCTGGCTTATCAGCTATGGTATAGTATTTTCCTCTCACAATAAAACAGCATCAGCCAGTTTATCAGCCACAGAAACCATCAGCCAAACTATATTTTCAGCAACAAAGCCCCGTCTGTGACCAATTGGAAAACAATCTTCACAAGTGAAGTTAAGCCTCTCTTGGTCTCTAAGTTAGCCTCCAGCTTTTGTCCTCCTTGAATAAAGCGTTAGGGAGCGTGTGCTCCACAGTTTCATTTAAAAAAGCAATTTAACATAGTGGCTATTAGTGGGATTGAGGATAGATGACCAATATCAACACACACTAGTAAAAATATGCACTTCTATGACAAAAATCTTAATGACGAATTCAAAATTATCATAAAAGATCACTTTGTATGACAAATTTTTTTGTTTCGTCATAAATCATTAGTGACGATCCTCCAACCCTCCTTATCTATGACGAAATCAAATATCGTCACAATAAAACGTCATAGAACGGCATATGGTTTCATCACATATCACTCGTGCGACTATTCCAGCTCATCTATGACAGTCTTCTTTAGAATTGTGACGACCAGGTTTTGTCATTGAACTAATTATACATCTATGACGAATAGTTTTCGATCTATAACGAACGGTACTTCGTCATAAATCTCCACACGTGCCTTTCTCCATCCGACGTGTACCTGTTACGCATTCGCGACGCTTGCAATTCTTCATAAATTCTCTACTCGATCGTTTCTCCATCCATGACGCTTGCAATTCGTCACAAAAGTCTCCTGTAAGAAAAATGGACCCTAGGCCCATTTACTTTGGATTTTGGTGTTTGATGACCAACACAACCAAATTAGACTAATGAATTTGCAAGTAATTATTTTATAGTTCAATAGGGTGCAAGACGTGACTTGGACGAAGGCGACATGATGATCCCACGATCAACACCATAAGTAAGACCCTAGAAACACAAAAAAAAGACCCAAGATATCAAGCAAAGTCCAAGCACGAAGATGGGAACCAAGCCGGACGCAAGATCGCGAAGAAACGAGCTCGGCAGAGGTGACCGGACGTGGCCCTATGAGTGACCGGACGCGTCCGATCAGTAGTCCAAAACTGTGGCAAGCGTTAGCATGCGACCGGACGCTGAAGAAGAAACATGACCGGACGCGACAATGGCACTATTCCTTGTCACGGCAATGTTTTCAGCGTGACCGGACGCGGCGGCACTGGACGACCAGACGCAGGAACTGCAGCGTCCAATCGAGTCCAGAGAGGTTCTAGAGCGGCGCTAGCACGATCGGTCGCATTCGATCGTCAATGACCGGACTCAGCGCCGAGTCCGATCAACGCGCACGCTCCAACGGTTGAGACGACGGGACGTGTTCGGTCAGGACGACAGCAGCGTTCGGTCAGTAGCAGAAAGCTAGGTTTCACCCCCTATGGCACTTTCTCCATGGAGCTTATAAATAGACCCCCCAACCGGCCATTTGATACATATGGAGCTGAGGAAACATACCAAGGGTGTTAATACACCACTTTAGTGATCTCCACCTGCATAGTGCTTAGTGATTCATTAGGTGATTAGCGTAGGTGCTTTGTGAAGTGCTTAGGTTGATTGGACCACCGCTTATGCGCTTGCTCTAGGTTTAAGCCTAGTGTTTAGTGAGGTTTGCATACCTCTTACCACTCGGTGCTTGCGCGCACCATTGTTGTACATTGGAGGGGCTTCTAGTATTGAGAGATCACACCAACCGCGTTTGTGGTGTGGCCGCCACCATGTACCGAAGGGAACAAGGCTCATGGCGGTTCAGCTGGAAGCTTGATAGTGAAGACTGCGGGGAGCGGTCCGGGAGAGGCTTGCTGGAAGGCACACCGAAGACCCACTTGCGCATGGGGAAGGCCCGTGGCTATCCATGGAGTTACTAGACCGGGAGTTTGGCCCTTGCAAGGGATTCCTCGCGAGGGGCTCCAGCGAGGACTAGGGGGAAGCTTGCACGCTTCTCGATACCTCGGTAAAAATACCAGAGTCGTCGATGGGAGTTTGCATATCTCTACCTTACTCTTTAGCCTCCGCATTTACATTGTTGGCATAACTCCTTTTGCGGTAGAGATAGCAACACACTAGCAAAACCGTAGTTGCACATTTAGATAGTTTATCTTTTGCATAGGTTTCGCTAAGAATAGAAAAAGAGGCCATAGTTTAGAGTTAGACATTTAAGTTGCCTAATTCACCCCCCCCCTCTAAGGCGTCACGATTCCTTTCAATTGGTATCAGAGATAGGCTCAATTTGTACCTTTGGCTTCAACGCCGTTGAGACGGCGCTATTTAGAGTGGTTGGGATGGATACCTCTAGGCCTCTGCACTTTGACGACACTAACTTCCCCTACTACAAAGCTAGAATGACTTGTCACCTTGAGGCGGTAGATTTAGGAGTTTGGAGAGTCACTCGTGATGGGATGAAACCCATTAAGAATCCCGATAAACCCACAAAGAGTGAAGAAAAAGAAATTCATTTCAATGCTAGAGCTAAAAATTACTTGTTTGAATCTTTTAGCATGGATGTGTTTAATCAAGTGTTCACTTTAAATACGGCACATGGAATTTGGTTAAAACTCTAAGAGATCCATGACGACACAACTAATGTCCGTGAGCAAAAACATTGTCTAGCTAAACAAAATTATGATTTCGTTAAAATAAATGATGATGGGCTTATTCATGATATGTATTCTCGTTTGAATCTAATTATCAATGAGCTCCATTCAATAGGATTAACAAAGCTAGATGATGCGGATATTGTGAGGAAGATCATCTCCGTGCTACCACAAAAGAAATATGCAAGCATCATCACCATCCTTCACAACATGGAGGACTTGAGCACCATGGGGCCATAGTCATTAGCAAGATTGTGGCATTTGAAATGTCACGCAAGATGGGTCAAGAAGAAGTCTCTTCATCAAGCAAAGGCAAAGCTCTCACATGTAGGGAGAAAAAGAAGATGAAGGGCAAGCAAGTTGAGACAAGCTCAAGCTCAAGCTTCTCAAGTGAAGATGAAGAAGAAGATGAGGATGATGATGATGAAGAATCAAGTGATGATGATCAATCTTCCTCCTCCACCTCCAACCTTGATGAAGAATGTATCAAACTTATTAACAAGGTGGAGAAGATGATCCAAAGGCTCAATATCAAGGGTATGCCCATCCAAATTCAAGATTTTATCTTCACCAATCAAAGAAATGAGCAAAGAAAGAAAGAATGTTATGGATGCAACGAGTTGGGGCACTTTGTGGAAATTTGTCCAAACAAGCCCACACCCAAGACAAAGAAGAATATATGCAAGGACAAAGCCCTTACATCAATAAGGTCATGGGATGATTCTTCAAGTGAAAAAGAAGACCGCCACAAAAGGCATGGGCACAAGCACTCATCATCAAGCACCTCACGTGTGTGCCTTATGGCACGAGGTAACAAAAAGCCTATCCCTAGTGATAGTGATAATGATAGTGATAGTGATGATAAGCTACCTTCTTATGATGAAATTGTGCAACAAAATCTTAACTTTGCTAAAGTTTGCACTAGTCAACAAAAGAAGCTTGAAAAATTAAAAGAAAAAATAGATAGCTCACAACAAGCTTATGCTACTTTGCTTGAACAATATGAAACTTTTGCCAATCTTAATATGGAGCTAGCTACTAAAATTGAGCAACTTGAGACTAGTGCAAACACAAATGCTTGCACAATCAATGATGAGCAACTTGTAAAGAAAAATGAAAAATTAAAAGAAAAGTTAGCTAGCTCACAAGATGCTTATAAAAGTTTGCTTGCTAAAATGAAAACCATGTGCAAACATTGTGATGAGCTAACTAATAAAGTTGCTAATCTAGAAACCGTCGGTACAACCCCCACCGAGGCACCTAAAAAGAAAGGTTCAATTTTTGACATGCCTAAAAAGGATGCCTCTACTTCTTGTAATGATTTATGGTTAGACTCACTCTTGTGCAACCAAGTGTGTGTTGAGAAAGTTGTTGTAGATACATGCACAAAAGAGGTCGCAATGGAGAATGAGCAACTCAAGCAAGAAGTGGCTCTTCTTACCAAGGACTTGACTCAAGTAAAAGGCAAGACGGAGCAAGCCCAACTTCATCAAGATAACACCGTCAAGGAAGTGAAGAAGCTTGATGAAGGACAAACCGTGGTTTGCTACGTAT